ACAGCGTCCCCACTAGCTCAGGAGCCAGGCAGAAGGAGAAATCCCACACAAGACAGGCTCTAGAGCAATGTGGATATCCTAACTGGGCCTTCCTGAAAACAGAGAAGAAACCCAAACAGGACTCCAGTCAGCCATCAGGTGAAAAGGAGGAACCCAGACCCAGACCAGTGGTCATTCCAGATGTTGAGGGAGTATCAGAGAAACTGAGACGTTTATTTTCTAAACATAACGTCCCAGTGGCTTTTAAACCCCAAAATACATTAAAGACTGGTTCATCCCAAAGATCCAGTCCCCCGGCACAAACAGAGTAATGTTGTGTATGCTGTTCAGTGTCAGGAGGGTGATCAGTCTTACATCGGGGAAACTAAACAGCCACTGGCCAAAAGGATGGACCAGCACAGAAGATCTACATCATCAGGCCAGGACTCTGAGGTCTACACTCATCTCCAGGTCAGAGGTCACTCTTTCAGGGATGAAGATGTTCACATCCTGGACAGAGAGGAACGATGGTTTGAGAGAGGAGTAAAGGAGGCCATCTTTGTGAAAAGAAACCGTCCATCATTAAACAGGGGTGGAGCCTCCAGGTTCAACTGTCCCCCTCTTACAATGCTGTGATTGCTAGTATCACTCAGCCCTCTGTGAACAGTAAACAGCCATCAGTGTGTTAATGATCCATTGTTAGGCTGATGGTCCTTCTTGAGCATGTGAGCAGCTGGTTTTGGTTGTCAGCAGCAAAACTGGTTGATCCACCCTGAGAAGGTGCTATTTAAGAGACTGAGCTGAATACAGCACCTCAGACTGAGGAAGTCTCTTGGATGAGAGACGAAACGTTTCTACATTTTTTTGCTTTGTTTTGTTTTTTTGAATGTCCAGAGGACCAGATTGAACTTTTTTGAACAGATCTAATGTTTTATTTTTCCTAGTGGGACAGCTTACGTATTGGTGGAAGGAGGCAAGAGTATTACTCAAAGTGGCATGGTTAAAATCCCCAGAAATGAGGAAAAATGCATCTGGGTGTTGAGACAGTAGCTCCATAGTCATGTTGAATATAGACACACGCACTGCCTCAGCACCAGCCTTCGGAGGTATGTAGACGCAGAGCGTGATGACGTGTGAGAACGCACGTGGTATGTAGTAGTTAATTAAACTAAAGAGACTTGTTTGACACAAAATGTGTTGATGAAGGTGAAAAAGACGCACAGTGTTTCTGAGAGTGAGGCACATAAGAGAAGAAATGGACCATCAATGAAAGTTTATTCATGAAAACGTTCTGAAAAAGCTGAAAAGGTTTAGTTTGTGTACAGTATATCCATTCTTACACAAATCTCCAGACCTTTCCTAGCAATGCAAAAGAAAAATATTTCAAACATCCTAACAGTTACAAATAATTTATCAGTTAATATTGTCCGAGGTGCTCAAACTATTAAAACATGTCTCCAGTTTCAGTACATTTTCCTCAGACTTACAGCGGAAATAAACCTTTTAAGTTAGAATCCATCTTTGAAGTGATTCGAAACGATAAGCCGTCGTATTTGTTTCTACTGTAACTAAGAAAATGTTCAGTCCTCACTTTATAAGATAATTTAAAAGTCTCTGAAGACACTTTAAAACCACACACGTCTTTCATGTTGAAATTTTAATATGTTTTTGTAAAGTTTGTGAATATGTAACGTAAGAATTAAAATAAGAGATTATAAAGGGCGCTGCAGATGGATGGACTGAGCAGCACCGGCAGACGGAGGACATTTTGCGTCTACATGACAGAACAGCACCGGCAGGTTTCCTGTTTGGGCGTTTGCGTCTCGTTCCCTGGGCTCCTTGCAGCTGGGCTCAGTGTCTCTGCAGAGACTGGACTTGTTGTTGGCTCTGCTGACCCGGCGCTCGTGGTGCAGGCCTGGACTTTGGTCAGCAGCGGCTCCTGTTCACTGACGTCGGCCTCGTTCTTCTGCTTCTCTGGGGGTTCAGTCAGGGGCACCTCTTGGAAGTGACCCAGATGACAGGCAGGCTCTTCCACTTTTACTTTTTCTACAGGAGTTCCTGAAGCTTCATGTTTGGTCGGAACCTCTGCCTCTGGACCCAGAGTGGAGGCTGGAACCTCAGTATAGCGTGGAACCAGAGCCCTCGTGGCGCCCTCTGCAGCACAGGCTGGTGACTGCAGCGCTTCCACTTTAGTTTTTGGCACTTCTGCATTTACGCTCAACTTGATGTTGTCTTTCTCTTTGGCTGTTGGTGGTGCTTCTACGGATAGCTCACATGCTGCATGGTTCTCTGGTTCTGGTAAAGGTTCTGGAGTGGTTTCTGTTGTTACCACCTTCTCTAAACTCTCTTCTGCTGCTTGTCCTGACTCTGAGTGTGGAAGAGAGGCTCTGTCCGCATCCTGCTGGTCGTCCTGAGAACAGAGCTCCTCAGGGCCATCATCTGTGATGAACACGGGTTCTGCTCTCATCACCAGAGTCTCATCATCTGTGGTGATGTTTGGACCTGGTGCTGCTTCGGTAACACTCATCTCTGGCACCAGTTTAATGCCATCACCACTCTCAAACACATGGACGGGCCCATTCTGGTTCAGAACACTCAGCTGTGAATGGTTGGAATCATGGTTTGCTTCCAAACGCCCCTGAGCGCTGGTGAGGAGAGCTGCGGCCTCATCCTCGGCTGGGCTCTGGATTTCCTTCATGTCATCGTCAGAAGCTTCTAAAGAAACAAAAAAAGTGGGAGCGAAGGTTTTATACTCAACATCACAGACGTCACTCGTTTCATTTATAAAACCTTCAGTGAGTTCTGAATATTCAGTGGGAAAATAACAAAACTGTTCAGGTTTGTGTAAATTCATCCTTCAACTTGATTTAGCACCTGCTGTGTCTCACAGTGTCTCTGTCCTCGTCTCTGTCCTCATGTATTAAATTAAAGGCACATTTTATTTTTCCAGTAATAAACATCTACACTGCACTTGGTCTTATAGAGGGTTCAAAAATGGACAAATACTGTATATTAATAAAACAGATAAACTCTCAAAAACAAACAATAAAAGGTTTGAAGCCACTACATCAATTTTAGGCCATGTTGTGTTAATGATATCAATTTATCATCTTTAATTTAGGCTTTAGTTTTGAATTACAACTATAATGTCTCTGTAATCATTTTATATTGTTGTTCGTTAGACATTTTGATTCCAGGCACTGAATGCACTTTTAATATTCTATCAATCGTTTGTGTAGAAATTTTCCACTGAGATAATAAATGGTCAACTTTTCAGTTCTTATTGTCCTTCATAGCAAAGCCAACGTGACAAACGTCAAAATCCAAGATGGCTACCACCAAATTCTAACTTCACTCGATGAAGACGCTCCTCTGAAAAAAAGTAATCAGTCAGTAGAGATTAGCTCCTTGGTGTTACGTACTTTAAAGCAGGCATCTAGAAAGCTGGAAAGAAAATGGCGCTCTATCAACGTTGAGGAATTTTACTTATCCTGGAGAGATAGCATGCTAACGTACAAAAAAGCTCTCCGTAAAGCTAGAACTTTATATTATTCGTCTTTAATTGATGAGAATAAAAATAACCCCAGGTTCCTTTTCAGTACCATAGCTAGTCTAATGAAAAATCCTCTCAGTTGAACCATGTATCTCTAAAACTATAATCAATGATGACTTCATGAGATTCTTTATAAATAAAATTATTTCAATTAAGAGAGAAAATTCAAACCATCCTTCCTTCTACTATCTCTAGTCCCCTGTCAAATGAGGCAACTTTAAAAATGTCACTACAACCTGATTTATGTTTGGACAGTTTTTGTCCTGTTGAGCTCTGAATTGTCAAAAATAATAACTTCATCAAAAACCATCCACATGCCTGCTAGATCCCATCTCAACCAGACTGTTTAAAGAGGTATTCCCCTTAATTAATAATAACGTCTTGGATCTGCTTAATTTGTCTCTAAAAAATGGTTACGCATCACAGAGCTTTAAGATTGTTGTAATTAAACCTTTACTTAAGAAACATAACCTTGACTCAGTAATCCTAGCCAATTATAGACCTATTTCTAATCTAACTTTCATCTGAAGAATTCTAGAGAAAATATCCTGATGCATGCTTAATAATGTAGTGAAAATAGTTGCAGGTCAGTTGCGTGATCATTTACAATGAAATAATCTGTTTTGAAGAGTTTCAGTCAGGGTTTGGAGCTCACCACAGCACTGAATCTGCACTGGTGAAAGTAACTAATGATATTCTCATGGCCTTTGACAATGGACAGGTGTAAATACTTGTTGCTGTTGTCCATTGTTGTCATCATTCTTTGTTGAAATCAGGTCTCTCTTGTAAATGAGTCCTTGAGGCTCAATGGGATTTACCTGTCTAAATAAAGGTTGAATGAATGAAAATACTGGTCCTGTTAGACCTCAGTGCTGCATTTGATACAGGTGATCACAATATTTTACTACAGAGGCTTGAATATGATGTTGGGATTCCAGGAACGGCTCTAAAATGATTTAAATCATATCTATCTGATAGATTCCAGTTTGTAAATGTAAATAATGAATGTTACTTAGACTACAAGCATGTCTTAAAGACATAAAAACATGGATGACCCTTAATTTTCTCCTGTTGAACAGACAAGACTGAGGTTTTGGTTTTTGGACCTGAGCACCTTAGGAATGAATGTTTCAGTCTTTCTCCCTCCTTAGATGCATTAATCTGTCCTCCAGCTCTAATGTTAAAAATCTTGGTGTTATTTTTGATCAGGACATGTCTTTTATCCCCCACATTAAAAACGTTACTAGAACCTCCTTCTTCCACCTGCGTAATATCACTAACATTAGAAACATCTGATCTAAAGATGATGCAGAAAAACTGGTCCATGCATTTGTCACGTCTAGACTGGACTATTGCAACGGTTTATTATCTGGGTGTCCCAATACTTCTTTAAAACGTCTTCAGTTGATCCAAAATGCTGCTGCCAGAGTCTTAACTGGAGTTACTGGGAGAGATCATATCTCTCCAGTTTCAGTTCTATTTCGTATAGGCTACGCCCTTTAAGGCTATCGCTAGTGGGTTTATCCCTTCACGTGCACGCAGCACTGAAAACTTTAGTCCACACCCACCTGCTGAGTGGGCCTCACCCCCGGTCCATATAAATTACGGTGAGACCGTGTAATCGGCTCCCATTTTTTCTTCAGTCAGCTAGCTAGCACTGTCAGAAGAACAAAGAAGGAAAAGATGTCCAGCTTTGACCGGAAAAACTTTTGCTAAGGATGCCTGCGTCTCTGCCATGCCAACCGCCTGCCATCTTGGTGAGCTCTTCCTCCCCGAGAAGAAGCAGAGACGAGCAGCCTTGTTCAAAGTAAGTGCCGAGGAGTGTTTTTCCGTGGCGGGCCGCTACCCGCTGGACGTCGCCATCGCCTTTTCTAACGTGTTTTCCTTGCGGTGAATCGGAGGATTCCCTCGAAAAAGGTGATGTGGGCAGCAGCTCCGCTGAGTGTTTTATCCATGGCAGGACGCTACGCACAGGACGACGCCACTGCCTTTCTTTGATGCAGAGTCACGTAGTGAATCGAATGATTCTTCCATGAAAGGCGATGCTAGAAACAACCTCGCTGCCCCTTCCCTCCTGGAGAGCATAGTGACGGAAGAGTGGTCGAACAGATGCTCAGCCAGCTCGGGTCTTCCCACGTCGGCGACCACACCGCTCCCAGCCGTCGGCACCCTCCTCTCGGAGCTGTCCGGCATAATCCAGGAGGTTGCTAACACAAAGGGACTTTCCGTCGCTCGCCTCCCTCCGTCCTGATCGGATGATCAGGCGGGAAGGTTTGGCTCCACCCCGGCTCGTCGCCCTGATTCCATCTGGCCTTGCTGTCCAGCTGTGACGTCACATTGGAACGAGGCTGCAGCTGGGCCCAGCAAGCTGAAGACATCTGTCTCCACCTTCACCTCCATCTCCAGAGTGGAGGATTTTACCGATCGGTGTTTTTCCCTTGGTTCTCCCCCCTGGAGCCAAGTCTGGCAGAGGCGCTTGGGGCAAAAGCTTCCAGGATGGACCGGCAACCTATCCCTCCAGGAAAGCATGACCAGAGGGTGACAAAGCTCTCCAACCGAGCTCACCAGTGCACATCCCAGGCGGTCGCGGCGAAAGACATCGCTCTGCTGGTCTACAGCATCTCAAAGAGGATGGAGGAAGCAGACCTGCTGGAGGAGATAAAGAGCTCTCTCTGTATAGCCACTGATGTCATCTTAAACATGTGCGCCACCTCTGCAGTCTGCCTGTCCCGCATGCAGCCCAGATGACCATGATCCAGAGGACCACCTGGCTCCGCCTCTCGCCATCCTTGTCCAAGAGGCTGCAGAAAGACCTGCTGGAGGGCACCATCACCCCAGAGGCGCTGTTCGGGGCCAACTTCAAGACCATCCTTGAGAAATTGAAGAGGTCCGAGGAGGTCTCAGAGATTGTACACCATCTTGTGACATCACAGTCCTCCTCCCGCCCCTCCGGCCGCTGGAGGGATTTGCCGGGTGGTATTTTGCTGGTTTTCTGCTGGACTGGCCCTCGTGGTGTCTTCATCGGTGTGGGGGAAGTGTACCTGTGTCCCCCAAACTGGACCAGAATCAAACCGAATCGAGTTTGCTGTGGGGGACTTCGTCTTCAACAGAGCCGGTCTCAGCTTCAGTGAACAGTCCGTTACTTTTAACGAAGAACTGTCCACCTCCGTGGAATCGCTGTGTTCACCTTGAGGAGACGCTCTGATGCTTTGAAGCGCCGCCGAAACCGGACCAGAGCTGAACCGGGCCAGGGCCAAAATCAGCCTCTTCGCCTCTCATGCTGTTGGAGCGCCTGAGCCAGACTGGAGCGGAACCGGACCGGACTAGTGACAACTTCAGCCTCAGCCTCTCTGGTCAGTCTCCTAGTTTTCACCGGGGGTGCCTCTCGTGCTGTCGGGTGCAGGGGTGACGTGCAGAAAAGCGGAGGAGCTGCGCTGCGTGGTGCTCGATAAAAGTTCGGAGTTTACATCAGAGTTGCTGCAGGCCTCCATCCAAACTCACCTGGATAATAATTATTTTATTCCGGATCACGCTGTTGTCTCCTGTTGACCTGAAACGAGCTTGGATCATGCCTTTCATTTCAGGAAGATTTTCTGGCAGCTCGCTCTGCTATTTGCTGCGAATTATCAGTTTCTGTTTCTGCCTGTTGATTCTGGACCCAGCTTCTGTTTCCCATGGGAGCATCCATCCATCTTCGCAGGGGGGCCGGAGCCCCACTCAGCCAAACTCAAACTGCAGTTGGGCCACCTTGTCAGGTTTGTTTACCCATTTGATTTGTGACGTTTTTGGTCTGAGACTTTTCTGCACCATTCATATTATTGTCACTATTTTCAGATCTCAGACTATCTGGAGTCACTGAATCTTGTTAATACACCTGGATCTGCCCATCACTGCAACTTTCACTGTTTTTGGGTTCTGAATGATCGCATCTTCATTAATGTTTCTCATGGGTCAATTATGGGGGCTAAGTGTCACACTACTAACTCCTGTAATTACACATCAGTCACAAAAAACTCAAGAAAATGTCTGATAATAATGTTGTTACTGCTCTCAGGGATTCAGCCCAACTCTGGACCTCCCCACTATTTATAAGACACCAAATGACTTTAAAAATGTGTCAGGACTTCATTTTCTACATGTAAATGCATGTAGCCTTCTGAGAAAACTTGATGCCTTGAAAATTCTGATCATTTCTTCTGGGGAAGATGTAATCTTCATCATTGAAACCTGGCTTAACAAATCTGTAATGAATACCGACCTGGTAATCAATGGATTTAACATCTACCGCTGTGATCATAAAAAAAAAGGGGGGGGGGGGGGGTGTCATTATTTACATAAGAGATTCTCTGGTTTCTAGTCTTGTGTCTTCTAAAACAATTTCAAACTAGTTTGAAGCCTTAGCTGTAAACATCACGTTGAATGGAGGCCAGATTTTATCTGTAGTCTGTTGTTATCGTCCCCTCCCTGGGCTGCCACCTTACCGTAGTGGAGGGGTTTGAGTGTCCCAATGATCCTAGGAGCTATGCTGTCAGGGGCATTACGCCCTAGTAGGGTCACCCATGGCAGACAGGTCCTAGGTGAGGGCCCAGAATAAAGTGCAGCCCAAAGACACAGATGATGAGAAAAACAAATGGACTTAATGTTTCCTTGCCCGGATGTGGGTCACCGGGGCCACACTCTGGAGCCAGGCCTGGAGGTGGGGCACGCGGGCGAGCGCATGGTGGCCGGGCTTTTACCCATGGAGCTCGGATGGGCACAGCCCGAAGAAGAGACGTGGGTCCCCCTTCCCATGGGCTCACCACCTGTGGGAGGGGCCAAAGGGGTCAAGTGCAATGTGGGATGGGTGGTGGCCAAGGGCGGGGACCCTGGCGGTCTGATCCTCGGCTACAGGAGCTGGCTATTGGGACGTGGATTGTCACCTCACTGGTGAGGAAGGAGCCTGAGCTGGTGTGTGAGGCTGAGAGGTTCCAGCTAGAAATAGTCGGACTCACCTCTACACATGGCTCTGGCTCTGCAACCAGTTTCCTTGAGAGGGGCTGGACACTCTTCCACTCTGGAGTTGCCCCTGGTGAGAGGCGCCGAGCAGGAGTGGGCATACTCATTGCCCTCCAACTTGGTGCCTGTGTGTTGGGGTTCACCCCGGTGAATGAGATGGTGGCCTCCCTCCACCTACATGTGGGGGGACGGCTTCTAACTGTTGTTTGTGCTTATGCACCTAACGGCAGTTCAGATTATCCACCCTTTTTGGAGTCCTTGGAGGGGGTACTGGAAAGTGCACCTCCTAGGGACTCCCCTGTTCTGCTGGGGGACTTCAGAGTCAGAGTCAGAGTCAGAGTTTCTTTATTGTCATTCGCACCTCATGTGGTACATGTGGTGGAGCGAAATTATGTACACGGGGTCCCAGTTACATCCAACAATAAAATGTATAAGAAAAACAGTAATAACATCTAAGATATGAACTAAGAAAAACATCAACTAAATATACACTGCTCATTCAATGCTCATGTGGGCAATGACAGTGAGACCTGGAGGGGTGTGGTTGGGAGGAACGCCCCCCCGATCTGAACCCGAGCGGTGTTCTGTTGTTGGACTTCTGTGCTCGTCATGGATTGTCAATAACGAACACCTTGTTCAAGCATAAGGGTGTCCATATGTGCTCTTGGCACCAGGACACCCTAGGCCGCAGTTCGATGATCGACTTTGTCATTGTCTCATCTGATCTGCGGCCACGTCTTGGACACTCGGGTGAAGAGAGGGGTGGAGCTTGTCCACTGTTCACTACCTGGTGGTGAGTTGGCTCCCATGGTGGGGGAGGATGCCAGTCAGACCTGGCAGACCCAAACGTATTGTGAGGGTTTGCTGGGAACGTCTGGCAGAGTCTCCTGTGAGACGGAGTTTTAACTCCCACCTCCGGGAGAACTTCGAACATGTTTCGGGGGAGGTGGGGGACATTGAGTGGACCATGTTTCGTGCCTCTATTGTCGAGGCGGCTTATCGGAGCTGTGGCCGCAAGGTTGTCGTGCCTGTTGCGGCGGCAACCCTCAAACCCGATGGTGGACACCGTTGGGGAGGGATGCTGTCAGGCTGAAGAAGAAGTCCTATTGGGCCTTTTTGGCCTGTGGGACCCCGGAAGCAGCTGATGGGTACTGACAGTCCAATCGACAAGCAGCTCGGGTGGTCGTTGAGGCAAAAACTCAGGCATGGGAGGAGTTTGGAGAGGCCATGGAGAATGACTTCCGCAAGGCTTCGAGGAGATTCTGGTCCACCATCCAATGTCTCAGGGGGGTAAAGCGGTACGCCACCAATACTGTTTATAGTGGGAGTGGTGTGCTGCTGACCTCAACTCGGAATGTTGTGGGTCGGTGGGCAGAATACTTTGAAGACCTCCTCCATCCCACCGGCACATCTTCCACTGAGGAAGCGGAGCCTGGGGACTCTGGGTTGGGCCCTCCAATCTCCGGCGCTGAGGTCACCGAGGTGGTTAAAAAGCTCCTCGGTGGCAGTGCCCCAGGGGTGGATGAGATTCGCCCCGAGTTCCTTAAGGCTCTGGATGTTGTAGGGTTGTGTTGGCTTACGCGACTCTGCAATATTGCGTGGACATCGGGGGAAGTTCCCCTGGATTGGCAGACCGGGGTGGTGGTCCCCCTATTCAAAAAGGGGGACCGTAGAGTGTATTCCAACTACAGGGGAATCACACTTTTAAGCCTCCTTGGTAAGGTCTATTCGGGGGTTCTGGAGAGGAGGGTCCGTCGGATAGTCGAACCTCGGATTCAGGAGGAGCAGTGCGATTTTCGTCCTGACCGTGGAACACTGGACCAGCTCTACACTCTCAGCAAGGTCCTGGAGGGTGCATGGGAGTTTGCCCAACCGGTCTACATGTGCTTTGTGGACTTGGAGAAGGCGTTCGACTGCGTCCCTCGGGGAACCCCATGGCGGGTACTCTGGGAGTATGGGGTACCGGGCCCTTTGATACTGGCTGTTAGGTCTCTGTATGACCGGTGTCAGAGCCTGGTCCGCATCGCCGGCAGTAAGTCGGGCTTGTTCCCTGTGAGAGATGGATTCCGCCAAGGTTGCCCTTTGTCACCGATTCTATTCATAACTTTTATGGACAGAATTTCTAGACGCAGCCAAGGTGTTGATGGGATCCGTTTTGGGGGCCTTAGGATTGCGTCTCTGCTTTTTGCAGATGATGTAGTCTTATTGGCTTCATCAGATCGTGATCTACAGCTTTCGCTGGAGCGGTTCGCAGCCGAATGTGACGCGGCCAGGATGAAGATCAGTTCCTCCAAATCCGAGGCCATGGTCTTGAGCCGGAAAAGGGTAGAGTGCCTTCTCTGGGTCAGGGAGGAGGTCCTACCCCAAGTGGAGGAGTTCAAGTATCTTGGGGTCTTGTTCACGAATGAGGGAAAAATGGAGCGTGACATCGATTGGCGGATAAGTGCAGCGTCTGCAGTGAAGCGGGCACTGTACAGGTCTGTCGTGGTGAAGAGAGAGCTAAGTCAAAAGGCGAAGCTCTCAATTTACCGATCGATCTACGTTCCTACCCTCATCTATGGTCACGAGCTTTGGGTTGTGACCGAAAGAATGAGATCTCGGATACAAGCGGCCGAAATGGGTTTTCTCTGCAGGGTGTCTGGGCTCTCCCTTAGAGACAGGGTGAGAAGCTCGATCATCTGGGAGGGACTCAGAGTAGAGCCGCTGCTTCTCCACGTCGAGAGAAACCAGTTGAGGTGGCTTGAACATCTGTTTAGGATGCTTCCTGGACGCCTCTCTGGTGAGGTGTTCTGGACATGTCCCACCGGGAGGAGGCCCAGAGGAAGACCCAGGACACGCTGGAGGGACTATGTTTCCCGGCTGGCCTGGGAACGCCTCGGGATTCCCCCGGAAGAGCTGGCCTAAGTGGCTGGGGAGAGGGAAGTCTGGGCCTCCCTACTTAGGCTGCTACCCCTGCGACCCGACCCCGGATAAGCGGAAGAAAATGGATGGATGGATAGAAGCTCTTAGGATCGTTTAGATTTTTGATGGTTTGAGATAAATAGTAGTTTGGCACATCCATTCATGACTTCATGGTCTCTGACAGCTTGGCTGAATAGGTGATGGTTTACAGTTTTATAAGAAAGAATAAAGACAAACATGTTTTGTTTTGACAACAAAGACATCAGTAAAAGACAAAAATATGTTTTCTAATGTATTATTTGTTTCCACAGATTGTTATCCATCACCTGATCTCGTTGCCTCCTTTTGTCCATTCTGCAGGTCTTGGACTTTCTCTGATGGTTAGGAAACGGGAGACAAAAGAATGATTTAAATAAACTGCTGCAGAATATCACAACACTGGTTTCAGTAAAAACACACTAAATATAAAAGTGATATAAATCAAAATGTTTACTCTTACATTTTAGCTATATAACATATTTTATTCCTCATGATTTTTCCTCATTTTATGTTAGCATGTCTGACATTAAATTGCCTTCATGAGTTCATGACGTTTTTTGAATTGTTGTAAATCCCCCAAAAAGTTAAAAACAAAACAACTGGACTTTATTTGTAACTGAAGACGTTTCTCACTTCTCGGTCGAGGAGCTTCCTCAATTCAATGAAACTAGGAGTGTGGGATTAATTCCCATTGAGCTTCAAGGACTCGTTTACAAGAGAGACCTGATTTCAACAAAGAATGATGACAACAATGAACAGTTATAAAAAGTCATACTCCAGTTTTTTTTTTTTTTAAACAAAAAGGATAGCTAAAAAAAGTAACAAAAAACAGCAAGAATCTAAGGCGAATGTATAAAACTAAAAACAGGAACATGTCTGCATTGGTCCCTGCCAGGAGTCCAACAGATTCTTAAAGCCACTTAGAGAGGTCAAAGGTCGAGAGCGTCAGATCTTTTTACAAGATATTCCAGGAAACAGGAGCGGAGTAGGAGAAGGTCCTTTTGTCTAGTTCAGTCCTCACTGAGGGAACACTGCAGGTAATGATGTCCTGAGAGCGCACGCTGTAGCTGCACTCACACAGAGACATGTAGGAGGAGATGTATGAAGGCAGCAGACCAGGAAGTGATTTAAAGATGAAAATGTACCAGTGGGAGAGTCTGCGTGAGGTTAATGGTGACCAGTTAACCAGTGAGTACTGGGTGCAGTGGTGGGTACGGTAGTTACAGCCAGTTTTGAATCTTAGTGCACCATGATAGACAGCATCCAACATCTGCAGCATCCAACATCTGCAGCATCCAACATCTGCAGGGTTCTTGTAGGAGCGTTCATGTAAATAATGTCACCGTGATCAATGGAGGGAAGGAAAGTTACAGATATAAGGCGTTTTCTAGCATTCAGAGTTAGAAGAATTAGAAAGAGTTATTAGTTTTGTTCTGTTACTTGAAGATTATTATCATTGAACTATGTTTGAAAAAAGGGGCAGATATAATAAGATTTTTTCTTCTTTCTGCTGCCTTTCATTTTAAATCTCTTGTATTTTTTTAAAGTTTATGAAATTGTTTTGTTTTGTTGTTTAAAATGAATAAAGTTTATACCATAGATCTGGGCCTGAAGGCAGACTAACATTCATGTTTTGGTCTGTGGGAGGAAACCCGAGTACCCGGAGAAAACCCATGCAAGCACAAGAAGAACATGCAAAGTCCACGCAGAAACACCCCAGGTCCAACCGGGGATTGAACCCAGGACCTTCTTGCTGTGAGGCAGCAGTGCTAACCACTGATCCGTCGTGCTGCCACGTGTGTATTGTTAGTATTTGTTGTGTTCTTTATGGTTTTTAGCACTCAGTCTGGCTGAGATCATGCATTTCTACATTGCTGTATTTTTATTTAGATGGAAAACAATAAAATATAGTTGAGGTCAGTTGCAACAAATAAGGCATCACTGATACATTTGATATTTTTTTAATTAATATTTGATCATATTATAACAAAAGCCCAACTTGTTATAATGGTCATGGTTCATGGCAGCAGCAGAGAGCAATGAGTCATGCATGTATGGCAGATAGGTTTGTCATAAATTGTGAGGTTTGAAATTATATGGAAAGTCATTTGGGTGTTTTTCCACTACCCCTGAAAATGAGTAATTTTTCCTCACTAGCACACTTGTTGCTGTCTTTCACATTTCATTTATTTTGTGTTTTCACTTTGGGAGGTGTTTTTTTATTTTACTGCTTTTTATTTTTAAGTAAAACAAAATGTAATTATTGAAGCAAACTCTGTTTTCTTTTCTTTTTTCTCCAAACTTAAAAGAGCTTCTTTCAGCTTTAGAGTCCATCACACGTTCAGTTTGATATGTGCCTGGAGGAAAACGTTTGGATGAGAAGGACTTTATAAAACGTGGACGTGTTTTTCAGTTAGTGACGATGCCAGTTGCTGCCGTAGACCTCCGTTCTTTACAGCTTGTCTGAAAAGTTAAGAAACAAAACTCATCATTTGTGTTCCTTCACCCTGAGCTACGAACCACGTCATGACTGTTACACCCCCTTACACGTGGAAGATAAGGGGAGAAATGTCACCAAATCTGAATCCTACGAAGCGATGCACATCATTAAAAGCTGCACGCTGCCACCTGCTCGTCTGCAGCCGATAACGTGCGAAAAGACACTGAATAGAAAACAAAAGTGTTAAAAAAAACAGAGTCCAGATGGACGGCAGCAGCACTTCGCTCTGCAGTTACATAAATCCTGGATTAAAGCTCCTGAGATTACCTAGATTTTCTACAAACATGGTAAATTCAGCTTTGGTTCTTGTGAGTCAGCTCACCTGTTGCAGCCTCGGCCAGGTGTACAGCTTCCTGCGGAGTAAAAGCAACGAGAGGAATGAAATGATGTGCTCCTTGAAAACCTTGAGGACAAAACACATTTTTCATCTAATGTATGAAATGTTTCCTTTGTAACTTTAAAGCTGCACAGAATTAAAACGTGCGTATAGAAATGAGAGGCCAGCATCATGTGTGGGCACCAGGGGGAGGGAGTGAGGTGGAAACTCTCAGGAAACATCTGCTGTGTTCCCACTGACTGCAGTACCTCCATGAAGAAGACCTACTGTGACAAAATCATCTACATGGATGTGTAGCTTTGTGCGTTTGTGAAACTAAAAGTTCAAAATAGATTCAAACTCTCCTCAGGTTCTCAGGTTCTCAGAGACAGTCATGCCAAGAAAAATAACCAAATTATTAATAAAGCATCTTCTCCCTCCCAGTTATGTGTTCATCACTGAATGATGTGAAGAGGAGACGTGACCGCTGCTCACTGACTGAAGACACCAAGCTCTGTGCTGTTCATGCAACAGGACCACGTGCACTCTGAGCTTCTGCTGCTCCACAGGAGGTGCTACATTAAAGGAAGGCATTAGAGGAGGTGCATCATGCATGGCTGACAAGGAGAAGACGAGGAGAAAACGAGAAGACGAGGACAAGATGAGGAGACGAGGAGAAGATACCATACCATTTTATTTATAAAGCACTTAAAACAGCTACAAGACCAACCAAAGTGCTGTACAGACAGAACAACAGGTAACACACAAAGCAAAATACTAAATGAGGTAAATCAGAATATAGACATAAAAACGATGCAGATAATGACGACAAACCACTGTGGAGCATACAGGATCAAACACAGATCATCTGGTGTTGAAAGCTACTGAATAGTAGTGAGTTTTTAAACAGGATTTGAAAACCGAGAGGGAGGGGCCTGTCTGACAAGCAGAGGTAACTCGTTCCAAAGTCTTGGTCCTGCTACAGAGAAGGTCCTGTCACCTCTGCACTTAAGACCAGTTCCTGGAACTGTGAGGAGCAACTGGTCCGCTGACCTCAGGGAGTGTGGTGGGACATACGGTTGTAGCAAATCAGAGAGATGGGGGGGGGGGGGGGGGGACACCCTGTTCAGTGATTTGTAGACATACATGAGTATTTTGAACTGGATTCGAAGGTGAACTGGTAACCAGTGCAGTGAGGCTAAAACTGGTGTAATGTGCTCTCTTTTGCCTGTACTGGTTAAAAATGGGGCTGCTGCATTCTGGACCAGTTGTAGTCGTGCAATGGAGGTCTGACTGATACCAAACAGGAGAGAATTGCAGTAATCAAGCCTAGATGTAATGAATGCATGTATTACTGTCTCCAGGTTCTTTTTGGACAATATGGGCTTCAGTTTAGACAGCCGCCTCAGTTGGAAGAAACATGATTTAACAATCATGTTTACATGATTGTTAAGTTTCAGGGAAGGGTCCATTATCACGCCCAGATTAGTGACTCTTTGTTTTTCTGACAGGGTTAGAGCGGAGAGGTCGATGCAGTGGTTTGTGATCGTGTTGTTGGGAGGGAACAACATGACTTCAGACTTCTTTTCATTGAAACTTAAGAAGTTTAAAGCCATCCAGTCCCTGATGTCAGCCAGGCAGTTGAGCAGCGGTTGAATAGAGCATGTACCATTGTGTCTTAGGGGGAAGTAAATTTGACAGTCGTTGGCGTAGAAGTGGAAGGGCATGTTGTGTTTCTGGAAAATAGCACCAAGCGGCAGCAGGTATAAAGAGAATAGGAGGGGACCCAGTATGGACCCCTGCGGAACCCCCCTTTTAAGATCTGCTGCTGCAGAACTAAAATCTTTGATGGAGACACAAAAGGATCTGTCAGTGAGGTAAGAGCTGAACCTATTGAGGGCTGACCCTGTGACGCCCACCCACTGCTCCAACCTTGCAATGAGGATCTCATGGTCGATGGTGTCAAAGGCGGCTGTGAGGTCCAACAGGACAAGCAGCACAGAATCACCGGTATCTGTGAATCTGAAGATGTCGTTAAAGACCTTCAGCAGGGCAGTTTCAGTGCTGTGGAGAGGTTTAAAGCCAGACTGGAAAAGTTCTAAGATGGCGTGATCCTCCAGGAAGCACTTCAACTGGGACTCGACTATTTTCTCCAGTAGTTTAGAAACAAATGGGAATTTGAAGACAGGCCGGTAGTTGGAAACGACTGAGGGGTCAAGGTTTGTTTTTTCAGGAGAGGCTGGACAGCAGCATGTTTAAAGGATTTTGGCACCACGCCAGTGGATAAACTACTGTTTACTATGGCAAGAATGGACGGACCTAGAGTTGGAAACACCTCCTTTAGTAGTCGAGGGGGGACCACATCAAAGGGGGAACCAGAAGGTTTCAAGCTGCACATGACCTGCTCTAGAGAAGATAGAGTGATGGGTTCATAATGGTCAAAAGGAGCTACAGATCGAGGTGGGATGGATGGGTCATGAGTTGGAGGGGAAATGAGAGCCCTGGTGGTCGCAATTTTTTCCAAAAAGAAATGTAAGAAGTTGTTGCACAGCTCAGTCGAGGCTTCCAGAGGTGATGGTTCAATGAGTTGGAGAACAGAGTTTAGGGTGGAGAAGAGGACACGTGGGTTGTGAGAGTTTCAGGTAATTATGTCAGAGAAGAATTTGGATTTAGCAGCTTTTACTGCTTTCTGATAACGGCGCCAACTCTCTTTAAGTATCTGGAAAGAGACCTGCAGCCTGTCTTTCCTCCACTTTCGCTCCGCCCTCCTGCACTGCTGCCTAACGGCCTTGGTGACGTCACTCAGCCAAGGTTCTGCTCTCAGTTTTGATTTTCTAGTTTTAACAGGCGCAACATGATCCAGAGTCTTTAAGCAGACAGAGTTGAACTGGGATGTCAGCTCCTCAGTGGTGGTGAGAAACACCGGGGGCTGAATGATCATTTCAGAGTTATAAACATCTGTGAAACGTGCGGCAGTGAAGTGGTTAATAGTCCGGCTACTACGTGCAGGAGCGCACGGCTTAGGAGTTAGATGGGGGAGGGTGAACTCAAACCGGACTGGCATGTGGTCTGAAAAAACATTATCACCAATAACAAGATTATTAACAGTCACATCATGAGTTAAAACAAGGTCCAGTGTATGTCCACGCTCTTGGGTGGGACCGTTTACATGCTGAGTTAAATTAAATGAGTCCAATAAATCTAAAAAGTCTTTAACCAAGGGCTTCTCAGGACAGCACACGTGCAAATTAAAGTCCCCAATAATGAAAACATGCTCATATTTTGGTGTGATTTCAGCCAAGAAGTAAGAAAACTCATTTAAGAAATCCTTAGATCGAGGTGGGCGGTAGACGAGTGCAAATAACGTCTGAGGTGAATGTCCGAGTTCAAAGACGCTCAGCTCAAAGCTGGCACAGTAAGCCAGGATGGGCAGTTGTTTATAGTCAAAAGTTGATTTGAATATTGTTAATAATTCACCACCTCGCCGGCCTGATGGCCGCAGGGCGTTAAATTACAGACTGTTCGGTGGCAACAATTCCGTCAAGGCGCTGGACTCACCCTGAGACATCCAAGTCTCTGTGATGCAGAAAAAGTCCAACTCGTGCTCTTGAAAGTAGTCCCTGAGGATAAAAGTTTTGTTGGTAACAGATCTTGTGTTGACCAAACACATCCGGATACTGTCCAAGGTAGACCCAGCTGCGGTGGAGGGAGCATGCGCCATTGGCCTCAGATTTTCGATAACAGACCCTCCAGGTTGGCCCATGCGCCATGCTGGCCGACAACTCCTGTTGTTTACCTGGTTTGGACGCACGGGAAGCTGGCGATTGAAATCATGACCACCAGCTGAAGAGGAAGATGCTGCGCGCAGGGCTTTCAGCTTTACCAGCTGGCCAGCGCATTTTCCTCGGCGTCTGGAGCGATATCTCCGGGTAGGCAGGTGAGGAGCGCAGGGAAGGTAAGCTGGCACGTCCGCCAGCAGCGGGGGAAGGGGGGGTCCAGCGGTACGCTCGTATTGATCTAAATAAACGACATCGGCGGCACAAAATCGAAGATCCAGAAGCTGTAGTCGATCATACACCAGCAGCGAGTTTATGTCCCAGATGAAAAACTAACAAAACACAAATAATCCAAACACCATCAGCAGAGGTGGATTGCAAGCCATGTACACGGGCACCATCTTACTGGAAGATGAGGAGAGGACGAAGAGAAGACGAGGAGAGGACGAAGAGAAGACGAGGAGAGGACGAGGAGAGGACGA